TTAACTAAGCCTGTCAGTTGTCTTTTGCATCTGAGATAACATCCTGATTAACACATGTTTTTGCAAAACAAAGTAATTTCCGGGACCTCAATGCACCGGAGCCGAGAGCATGAATCCTCTCATTGTTATTGATATCTTGTAAACTGTGAACTATCCTGTACCCACCTATGTAAAAGAAGTATGTTTCTATCCTTTTACTTTTTTGTCCAATCCCAGAGGTTTCCCTCACCCCCTTGGCTTCCTCCCACCTCCCTAATCTATCACCAAAGGATTTCATGTAACCCAGTTGTGTCTTCTCCTTTGATTGTAATCTACAAAGCAGGGTGCAAAACTGCCATTCTCCGGAGCATTATTCCAATTTGTTGAGATTTTGGCTCCAATAAACTCACAAAAAAATTCTTCACATGTTTGAATGTTTCTTACGTTAATTGACGTACATTTAATTTACAAATATTTGGGAATGTTCTAGATATTTCTCAATTATTGATTTATAGTTTAATTCCACTGTGGTCAAAGAACATATTTTGTATGATTCTAATCTTTTTAAGTTTATGGGTATTTGTTTTACAGCCCAGATTATTGTTCCTTATGTATTTGGAAATAACGTGTCCTGTTATTTTTGAGTGAAGTGTTCTATAATTGTCAATTGAATTGTGTTGGTTGACAGTGGTTGTCAAGACTTCTGTATCGCTACTTGTTTTACTTCTACCCAATTCCTGTACGAGAAGTATTGATATCTCTATAATTGTGGGTTTATCCTGAAGTGTAGCACTCCCATCTTAGCACTCCTATTTTCTACCCTTACAACCGCTACTTTGAAGATAAGAGCAACAAAATTTGGTAGAAACAATGACCTCTTCCCCTCCCCTGGCTCTTTGTAAACTTCGTAAAAGATTTCCGCCCATAAAAATTCCAGGGAATAGTTAAGCAGGAAGGGTAATTAACGCTTATCTTAGTTTCTGTATACCGCTTCGCTGGTCCCCCACCTGCCCCCCTTAGCCAAATAGAATGTGGTTTTTGCCTTTATATTCTCCCTGCAAAGACTCTTCGGGGCTGCGAGTTTGTTCAGGGCAGGAGCCCGCTCACAGTCACCGGCTAATAAATCTCCAAACGGTCAATTTGGTCTCTGTGTGAATTAATCCCGCGAAAGCCGGGTATAACAATCCATTTCTCCGTTCACTTGTTTTTTGCTTCACGTATTTTGAAGCTATGTTATTAGGGTCATACACGTATAGGATTATATCCTCTTTATTAATTGACACCTTTATTGATATGGGAAGTCCCTCCCTTTTGATGTTTGCTAATATCTCTAGTTATTAATATAGCCCCTCAAGTATTCTTTTTGTGGTAGGATGTTAGACAGACATGAGCAGAGCAAGGATGATGGGCCAGGTACAGAAGGCTCCAGGTGCCTAGCAAAGGGCAATTGTAGGGCTGGACCTCCCCTCTAGGGTGACCTTTCCTCCCCTAGCATATCCCTGGTCAGGTGGTTTGGACCCCCTGACTTTTCCTCTCTAGATATAACATCTAGGCCTCAGTTACATTTCAGCTTCAGGCCCAGAAAAGCAACAAAACCAGACCTGCGACTCCATGGCTGACCTCAGGACCAGCTGAATCGGATAATGACCTGCTGCCCTGGTGCCGACCAATCAATCAGTGGCGACATAGACCCTGAAAGGACACACCTGGAAAGCTGCTGAATGTTCTATTGAGATCTTCCTCTGGGACCTCCCCTAAAATCTCCACCCTTAGGATGGAGGACCCAGTGTGCTCTCCCCCCCAGGAGCGCACCCCAACCTTTCCCTCTCCCTCTCCCTTTCCCATTCCCCTCCTCCTCTCCCCAGGCACATTACCTTTAGCTTCTCACTCCCAAGCTCCAAGGGCCCTTCCTTTAACTCCATAACTTGTTTCTTCAGCCCATTTCTTCTACAAATTACTTCTTCTGCCTCTGTGATTTTATAAGTAAATGTTCCCTTATAGTTTGAGTCTCGACTCTGAATTCTCTCCTAGCCAGAACTCAAGTACTAAGGTTGTGGAACCCAGGTCTGGTCTGATCCCTCTGGTCCCACTGGTCTAAAGCCTCATGCCCTCCCTGCTGCTACAACATGTTGATTAGTATGAGCATGGTTTCTGTCTTTCCATTCTTTTTCTTTGTGGACAAAAGGGGCCACAAAGCTAACCTGACAAGCTCAGGGAAGGCCTGCGTGGTGGCCTTGTAAACTCAGAGACCTAAAGTAACCACGAAGGATGGTCTGCAATTAAAACTTTTTAACTAGCCCTAGCAGGTTTGGCTCAGTGGTTAGAGCGTCAGCCCTCGGACTGAAGGGTCCCAGGTTCGATTCCAGCCAGGGGCACATTCCTCAGTTGCAGGCTCAATCCCCAGGCCCGGTTGGGGCGCCTGTGGGAGGCAACCAATCGATGTGTCTCTCTCACATTGATGTCTGTCTGTCTGTCTCTCTCCCCCTTCCACTCTCTCTGAAAAGCAATGAAAAAAAATCCTTGGCTAAGGATAAAGAAACACCCCAAAAAACCTTTCTAACTAAAAGCAGTTTATGTCCACCCAGCGGGCGTAGCTCAGCGGTTGAGCATCGACCTAGGATCCAAGAGATCTTGGTTCGATTCCAGGCCAGGGCACATGCCCGAGTTGTGGGCTCGATCCCCAGGAAGGGGCCGTGCAGGAGGCAGCCGATCAATGACTCTCATCATTGATGTTTCTCTCCTTCCTCTCTCTGAAATCAATAAAATATATTTAAAAATAAATAAATAAATAAAAGCCATTTATATCCTAGGCTAGAATCTTCCCTGACAAAAGTCAGTCTTTATCTTAACTAAGCTTGTCTATTGTCTTTTGCATCTGAGATAACATACCTTTGGAATGTCAAGGTAACTCCCCTTTTTTCCAGATCCTTCAAAGCACAACCAATACACTAGGGCGGAGACCATAAATCCTCTCATTGTTACTGTTATCATGTTAATTGTTGATGGTTAACTGTCCTATACCCACCTAGGTAAAAGGTGTATGTGTCTATCATTTTACTTTTCATCCAATCTCAGAGGTTTCCCTGCTTTGCTCTCTCCTACCTCCCTAGTCTATTGCCAGTGAATTTCATGGAACCCACTGGCATCTTCTCTGTCAATTGTATAATAAAGTCAGGTATAAAACTGCCATTCTCTGGAGCATTATCTCAATGCGTTGAGATTTTGCTTCGAGCAATTGTTGACAGTTTGGCTCAAATAAACTCACAAAAAATTCTCTATGGATTTCAATGTTTCTTACCTTGACATCTTTTAACCCATAGGTATCTTTTTATTTAAAGTGTGTTTCTTGTAGACAGCAGATAGTTGAGTCTTGGGTTTTAATTGAATCTTACAATCTTTAACTTTTAATTGGATGTTTAAGTCATTTATATATAATTTAATTATCAATACGTTGGGTTTAAAAGAAGAAAGGAAGAGAGTGGGAAAGGAAAAAGGGGGAAAAAGGAGAGGACCCTAGATTGGGAGTCAGGAAACCAGGTTGAAGTCCTGATTGTATCTACTAGCTCTGTAACTTTAGGTAAATCTAACTCCTCTGAGCTGTAGCTGCCTCACACGTTTGTAAGGGTGAATAAGTTATTTATAAACTACAACATGGTCTGAAATTGTAAGGATTAAAGGACCATCAAGTGCCAGACATATAGACAGGTATCCATAAACCAGGGTAATGTGAGCACCTCAGAGACAGATCTCACTTGTTTCTATATTTCCAGCACCTAGTTCCATGCCTAGCACATAGACTGTTACCAGTAAGTGTTTATGGAGTGAATGAATCAATGAAATAAGTAACTTTGAGTAAGTGAATGAATGATGGTATGTGGAAGACAGGGGGGTGTCAGATGACAAGTTATTAAGTGCCTATGGCACTACTAAGAACTGTACTTACTCTAATGATTTTTTAAAAAATATATCTTTATTGACTTCAGAGAGAGAGGAAGGGAGAGGGAGAGAGAGAAAGAAACATCAATGATGAGAAAGTCGTCATTGATTGGCGGCCTGCAGCCCGGGCATGTGCCCTGACCGGGAATCGAACCTCAATCTCCTGGATCCTAGGTCGATGCTCAACCACTGAGCCACGCCCGGCTGGGCTGTATTTACTTTAATTACTTATCTCTTAAATGGGAATACTTTTCAGTAGCATGGAAGAATAATTTTTATGTATATGTATTTGTACTTACATATTCATTCATTCAACAAGTGTTTATTAAGTGCCTACTATGTGCCAGGCACAGTTCTAGATCCTGGGCATACTACAATGTTCATTTTAACCATTTGTTTTCAAAAGGCCTCTTGTGGCATGGAAAGATGGAACAGACTGAGGAATCTCAGAGAGAAGTGGGTGGGGGGCTGGGGTCGTCAGGAAGAGATTAACCGAAGAACTTATATGCATAGATGCATTGCCCAGATAATAGGGTGGTGAAGGCCTGGGGTTGGGCTGAATCTGGGTGGAGGGGGGCAATATGGGGAAGAAAAGGGGGGACATCTGTAATATTCCCAGCTATAAAGATTTTTTTTAAAAAAGGCCTCTTGCAATGAGGTTCACCTTCAGTAAGTGAAAGTGCTGATTGAACCCTGATCCCTGGTGCAAATGCAAACATATTCCCATTAGTTATTGACTGGCTACAAGTTTTTTGAAGTCCTCTTTGGGAAAAGAACTTTTTCTCATTGCTTTTTCCTATTTTTAGCCATTAACACTTAGTTTGGGAGCAAAACATTTAATGATTTTTTAAAAGCAACAGGTGAAGTTAATGTATATTAGGTAACAGCTAGGTAATCAAGCAGGTAGATGAGAGGGAGTCATTCTTCCAATCAAACTGATGATGTCACTGGAGAAAAGAAGGTCCGTTGGAACCTGGTGTCTGGCAGTTACTGGGAGCCGTGGCTAGAAATAGGGTACTCAGGAGCTCCCCCAGAGCCCTTAACTCCAAAGTAGCCAACATTAAGCATCCAGGCTTGTGACCTAGAGACACAGAATATCTTTGTGACTGACAAAGTGGTCCAAAATGGAGAAAGACGAGGCCCCACAGTTGGTGACTCCTGCATCGGTGAAAGCCATCATCTCAAGGATTGAGGCTGCCCAGCTAACTCGGGCGCAGGAGGTAACCGCGGAGATGAGGAAGTTACCCTTCTGTTGGAGTCTGATGTGGCAGTTGGGGACTGATCCCAGATTTGGGCAAGATTCCAGGTCTGGGCCCTTGGGGTCCTGGGATCCTTGGCAAGCTGAGTTTGCAGACAGATTAGTGCAAAACATCCACCTCTTAGACTTGGCCTCTGCAGGGCAGGCCATAATCAAACCACCCCCCTGAGGCAGGGCTGGGCCCAGGAAGGGAACAGCCCGTGGAAACCCCAGGATAGTAGTGAGACCAGAGGTGTGGGACCTAGCAAGGCAAGGGGAGGGGCCCGGAGTTCATAATTGGGGTCTGTTCCTGGCGACCTGTCAGAATCCCCCAAGTTAAGCCCTAGAAGCTCACAGTGAAATGGCCAAAGGCTGCAATCACCCTACTCGTGAGCCTTTAGTGCATTTTTTATGGGAGCCTCTGATCCTGAGAGTTTCTTGGGGCCTAATTTTTCCCGTCTGTTATCTCTGGATCCTTGTGAGGAGAGATGTCCAGACATCCCCAGCAAATTCTGAAATTCTGAAGAAATGTTTGTTGTGGATTTTTAGTATTCTCTCCCTGACCTGCCCTTAATTAAAACGACATAGTAAGAGCTTCTTATTTTATGTGCCAGGTACTGTCCTAAGTGCTTTACAAATTCATTTAATATTTACAAAAACCCTGTGACATAGGTACTCTAATGGTCTCCACTTTACAAATAAGAAAACAGAGGCCCCAAGAGGTTAAATGAGTTGCCTAAGATCATACCAGGACATGGCATCTGGCTCCCGAGTTCACACCTCTAAACACTACAATCTTCGGTTTTCCATATAGGATATTTCGTCCCAGCTCGCCGACATCTTGGACAATGTCAATTGTGTCATCAACCGCTTCCAGGAAGAATTGGGATATGATTTAAAAGAAAAGGCAAAATCTCACCAGATGCAGCAAAAGGGCAAGAACAGATTCATCTTGTTGGAGAAAATCGCCTCCTTCTCCAAAGATTCTAAGACTAAAGAGAAACACTTATACGAAATTCTCCACTGGCTGGGTGACTGGGGTGAGCTTGCGGCGGGCGCCTTCCAGCTTGCTCAGCCTCTTCCTCTCCTCTGTCCCGTTCCCTGGGAGGGGACTGCGGGGTGGCGGTGCAGAGGACATAATGCAGTGCCTCTCCAGTGAAACATCCTCCCACTCATGTCACAACACCTCACCTTCACTCCCCAGAGGGGCAAACACGTGATCGTCAAAAGGTAACATTAGCTGCCATATATGATGAAGCCTAAGTCACGGGTCCATTATATCACCTTATTTTTTTAGCAAGATGGAAACTAAGTTCAAACCCACCCTAGCTATTTTATTTTTAAATTTTCCACCTTTAGTGAAAGCTAACTGACAAATAACATTGTGTAAATTTAAAGTGTACAGTGATATATGTTGCGATATGATTATCACAATAAAGTCACTTAACACATCCATCATCTCACATAGTTACCTTTTTTTAATATGAGAACATTTAAGATCTACTCTCTTGGCAAATTTCAAGTATAAAATACAATGTTGTTAACTATAGTTACCATGCTGTACATTAGACCCCCAGAACTTATTTCTCTTATAACTGAAAGTTTGTACCCCTTGACCAACATCTCCCCATTTACCCCGACTTCCCAGCCCCTGGTAACCACCAATCTACTCTTTCTTTCTGAGTTCAACTTTTTAGATTCCACACATAAGGGAGATCATACAGTATTGTCTTTCTCTAACTTATTTCACTTAGCCTAATACCCCCAAGGTCCATCCATGTTGTAGCAAATGGCAAGATTTCCTTCTTTATGACTAATATTTCATTGTATATACCACATTAAATTTATTTTTATTTATTTATTTATTTTTTTAAATATATCTTTATTGATTTCAGAGAGAGGAAAGGAGAGGGAGAGAGAGATAGAAACATCACTGATGAGAGAGTCATTGATCGGCTGCCTCCTGCACGGCCCCGACTGGGGATCGAGCCCGCAACCCGGGCATGTGCCGCAACCAGGAATTGAACCTTGATCTCCTGGATCCTAGGCCGATGCACAACCACTGAGCCATGCCCGGCTGGGCTATTTTTAATTTTTTGAGGAAACTTTATACTGTTTTCCAAAATGGTTGTACCAATTTACATTCTCACCAACACTGCACAAGGGTTCCCTTTTCTCCACATCCTCACCAACACTTACTTCTTATTTTTTTCATAATAACCATCTTAACAGGTATGAGGTAACATTTCATTGTGGTTTTTATTTGTATTTCTCTGTTGACTAGTGATGTTGAACATCTTTTCATGTACTTTTGGCCATTTGTATATCTTCTTTAGAAAAATGTCTATTCAGATCTTTTGCCCATTTTTAAATTGGATTTTTTTTTGTTTTGTTATTGAGTTGTATGAGTTCCTTATATATTTTGGGCATTAACCCCTTATTAGACAAATGGTTTGCAAATATTTTCTCCCACTCTGCAGGTTGCCTTTTCATTTTGTTGATCATTTCTTTTACTGCAGAAATTTTTTAGTTTGATGTAGTCCCACTTGTTTATTTTTGTTTTTGTTGCCTTTGCTTTTGGTGTCATATACAAAATATCATTGCCAAGACCAATATTAAGCAACTTTTTCCCTAGGCTTTCCTCTAGGAGTTTTATGGTTTCAGGTCTTACATTTAAGTCTTTAATCCATTTCGAGTTAATTTTTGTGAGTGGTATGATAGGGGCCCAATTTCATTCATTCTTTTGCATGTGAATGTCTAGGTTTCCCAGTACCACTTATTGAAGAGACTGTCCTCTACCAGTGTGTATCCTCGGCTCCCCTGTCAAATATCAGATGACCATGTGTGTATCGGGTTATTTCTGGGCTCTTGATTCTTCCATTGGTCTATGTGTCTGTTTTGATGTCAGTACCATCCTGTTTTCGATTACTATAGCCTTGTAATATAGTTTGGAATCAGGTAGTATGATGTTTTGTTTTTCTTTTTTAAAAAATATTTTTATTGACTTTTAGAGAGAGAGGAAGGGAGAGAAAGAAGCATCAACGTGAGAGTGTAACATCAATCGGCTGCCTCCTGCATGCCCCTTATTGGGGATCGAGGCCACAACCTGGGCATATGCCCTGACTGGGAATCGAACCAGCAACCTCTGGTGCATGGGATGACACCCAACCAACCGAGCCACACTGGGCAGGGCTGATGTTTTGTTTTTCTTTCTCAGGATTGCTTTGGCTGTTTGGGGACTTTTGTGGTTCTATGTAAATTTTAGAATTGTTTTTTCTATTTCTGCAAAAAATGCCGTTCATATTGCATTGAATCTATAGCTGGTTTTGGGTAGTATGGACACTTTAACAATATTAATTTTTCCAATTCATGAACATGAGGCATCTTTCCATGTATATGTGTCTTCTTCAGTTTCTTTCATCCAGTGTCTTACAGTTCTCAGTGCAGAGATCCTTCACCTCCCGGTTAAATTTATTCCTTAGTATTTATTGTTTTTGATGCTACTGTAAGTGGGATTGTTTTATTTCTTTTTCAGACAGTTCATTGTTAGTGTATAGAAATGCAACTGATCTTTGTAAGTTGATTTTGTATTCTGCGACTTTACTGAATTTGTTTATTAGTTCTAACAGTGTTTTTGGTGGTACACATTAGCTCTTTTATACAGGAACCCAAGGGTGTCATTCACAGTACTAAATGGCCCTTACCGCATGGGCAGTGGGCCAAACAGCACTGATGCCAGCTGTAAGAAACCAGCATAGCCACCTGGGTGTGGGCCAGGTGCTGCCCCCACCACCAGAGTTATCCCATCGTGAGAGCTCAGTCTGCCGTGAAGGGCGGTAGATGCTGCAGCGCTGGAGGGAGCCACGTGGCACAGGGATGTGCCCCACCCCCTCACACTGCCCTGCTCAGGGGAGCTCTCAGTTCAGTGGCTCTTCAGCCGCCCCCAAGAACTCAGCAGGACTGTTGAATTCAGATCATTGATTTAATTGTCCGGATCCTGGACTAGGCAATATGGGGATAGAGCAACAACAAGACAGGCACATCCCTGGCCTTATAGTACAACAATACTGTTTAATGTCTATTACGTATTTTCTACATGGCAGGCCTCACATTGATCATTTCACATGTATTGTTTCATTTAATATCCGCCCAATCCTTTTACAGGCAAGGATACTGAAGCTCAGGGGAATAAGCGACATGCCCAACATCACACAGCTAGTAAGAGGGAAACCGATTTGACTTCAAAGCCTACTCTTGTCACCCCTGTGCAATAGGGCTGCTTGGGGCTCCCTAGAAGACGGATTGTTCTCAGCCTAAACCTCCCACTCCCTCTCCAGGTGACAGTCTGACCTACGAGATCAGGAACAGGAAGAGTGAGAAGGAGGAGGAAGCCCTGGACGAATGGATTGAGGTGATGGAGAAGGTGTTACCTCTCTCCCTCATCACCACCAAAGGAGGCATCAAGTCGCTCATTTCCCTTTGCTCCACTCTCATTGAAGGACAAAAGAAAAGGGCACAAGGTGGGTACCAGGCGTATAGGGGAGAGGGCTTGGGGGTTGGATACCAGCTCAGAGGAGAAGTCACATACCACGGTCCATGGTGGTCTTCCTGACTCAGATAAAACAAAAGCTTTATCTGAGACGCATGGGCAGTGGGGAGGGGTTGGGATACTAAACTTAAGCTGAGCACTGAGCGGTTCTGAGCTGTCCCTCAGGGTTAGAGGAGGAGTGATGTGGAGACATCACCTATTGGTGCTCCCTGCGGCTGTGGCCTCATGCAATTATGGGGAACAAAGCCAGAAAGGCTGAAGTTTATAGCTAGAACCTGAGGTACATCCTTTTTTTACTCCAAAACCAGCCACAGGGCCAAAAGTCTGGTGCAACTCAACCAAAGGTGTCAGAACCTCCTTAATTGAGGCTGCTCCAGATGTCGTCAGTCAACAAGGTACAACCTTGACATTGTATACTCCTATCAGCACTAGAAGGGGACTGAGATTATCTCACTCCTACATTTTGTAGAGAACATTGAAGCTCAAGGAAGAGAAGGGACCACAAAGAAAGCTTGTGGCAAAACCAGGCTCCACACCTGGGTTTTCTGGCTTCTTAATCTTACTCAAGAGCATGGGTTGCAGAGTCACACAGGCCTGACTTTGAATCCCATGTGCCACTTTCTCGCTGTGTGATTTCGGCAACTAACTTCATCTTTCTGAACCTCACTTTTCCATTATACAAAATTAGGAGGACACTGCCCACTTGTAGGGTTCCCCTTGGTACAGACATCTGGCACTATACTTAGAACATGCTCAGGGCTTAATAAACAATAGCTCACATTAGCATTTACCATTGACTTTCCTGGGCCAGGTTACTTATCATCAAACAAGGTCCACGTTTAGGGGAGGGAGGAAGCAGGGAAAGTTGGATGCGAAGGAGACAATCTCTTCTACAATCCTAACCGTATTATTTCTCCAAATATAGTTATTTGTATACTTGACTTATTTCCTTGCTGGTTTATAAACTCCTAGAGGGCAAAGCTGTGTCTTACTCATTTCTTTTTAGGGATTAGTTACTGAGTACTTACTAGGTATCTGGTACTGTGCTTGGCACTAACCATGCTTTAAATTAAATGCTACGAATTAGATGTTATGATTATCCCCATTTTTCAGAAATGGAGGCACTGAAAAGTTAGGAAACTTGCCCAAACCAAGTGGTAAGGATGGGATTCAAGACCAAGTTATCTGATTCCAGAATCCAGGCTCTGAACCATGAGGCCATATGGCCTCTCTGACAGTATTAGCTTGATGCTAGCTTGATTTCAGTGTCATTTAATTTCCATATATCCATCATCCAAAGTTAGCCAATGTTTTTTTGTGTGCCAGTGATGTTCGCTGAATGGGCAAATAAATGGATGCTCCCAGATAATCACTCTAGCAACCCCACACGTGGTACATCCAAGGGAATATGACTATGACCATGACTCAGCCCTGAAGAGCTGACGTCTATGAATGGTTTTAATCACAGAGCGCACAATCTGTGTTTATGTATATTTTCCTGGGGGGAAGGTCTCCTGCTTTCATCAGAGTATTAAAGGAGTTTGTAAACCCCCCCCCCCAAATGGAAAAAGACAGTCATTAAAACAAACAGGTATGTGAACAGTTACAGGACCATGTGATAAATTTTCTACAAAGTTCAGTGATAACAAGAAAGGGAAATAAAACTTCCAAGGTGATCTGGAGTCTAAATGCCAGGCAGGCTTCCAGAGTTTGGATAGTTGGAGAACACAGGTATTGAGGCTGAAAAGTAGCATGATTAGAAAAACAACTTTACTCCAGGGAAATATGGAAGATCAGGAGTACTTTGAATTGAGTTGAACTGAATTGAATAGTTTCAAGCCCCTCTGGGTCCTGCAGGTGCTATGGAGCTGGCAGGCCCTGACAGGTAAGCCCTCAGCAAGCTCTGAGCCTGGCAGAGATCCCTCCTGACAACATCTCCCCTGGCCTCACATATAGCCCCAGCTCCTTTCTTGCCAAAGCTCTAGTCAGGTTGGGTGGGAATGTGGCCAGGCAGCATCTGGAGAAGCAGTACAATTCTTGGGACCCATGGGAGCTTATTGCCTTTGTTTTCTCTACTTCTTCTAGTATCCAAACACACATTCTGGCAAGGCTGGCAGGAACAAAGCCTGCAAAAGTCTACATCCTACCCCCAGCCACTGAGCCCAGAGCAGATGCTCCAGGACAAGAATACTACTTGCACGAGGGTTTCTGAGGTGAGGTCCATGCTGCAGGAACTCCTCGAGTCCACCATGTTCAGCCAGGGGGAGGTCAGGGCCATCAGGTACATGTCTGCAGTGGTGGAGAACCTCAACAAGGCCTTGAACCTCCAGCACAATGAGAACAGGAGCCTGGAGACCAAATATAGGCAACTGAAAATAGAGATGACCAAAGAACTCAGCTGCCAGAGGCTCTACTTTCAGCAATCCCTCCAAGTCCTTGAGAATAAGAGGGATGCCCTACTAAGGCAGGTAGAAACTCTAGGGGGAAAGTACTATGACCTTCTCCTGATAAAGCATGCCTTAGAGTTTCAGCTGAAGAAGGCCCAGACTGTTAGAGGTCAAGCCAACTCCCTGGACCCCCCTAAGAAAGAGACTCTCCCAAAGAAAGAAGCAGCCACGGAGGAAACCCAACAGGAGCCCAAGAAGGAGGAGCAGTTGTTTTCACCACTTTCCCCAGGTCCCATGGCCACAGCTGGGGACAGTGGTGCTAGGTCTTCTACATGTCAGCCACTTTCCACCATGACCATGCATCGGAGGATCGCAGATGTATACAGCAGCAGGGACACTGAAAGTCTTCAGCTTATGTTGCCATCCTCAGTGGATCACAAATTTCCTAAGAAATGGGAAATACCAATGGCAGAGAGTCCAGGCCACGAAGTCTTAGATCAGAAGGACTTCTTCCCGGAAGCAGCCCAAGAGAAAGGAGGACTCCAAATTAAGTCCCATTTTAGGGAGCAGCTGTCTCCAGAGAGCTCCAGGACGGTGGCCTTGGAGAGCAAGCGGGAGCATTGGGAAGAGGAACTCAGCTGGGAGAGGCGGAGGCAGCAGTGGCTGGAGGAGGAGGAGCTGTGGCTGCAGCGGCAGAAGAAGTGGGCCCTGCTGGAGCAGGAGCACCAGGAGAAGATGCGCCAGTGGGAGGTGGAGGAAGGAGCAAAGGAGCAGCAGCAGAGACTGGTCCCGCCGGAAAAGGGGGACGGGGGCCCGCGGAGGGAGCCGGGGCAGCCAGGCAAGGATGAGGAGAGGAAGATCTTTGTGACCACCAGTCGATGGAGGGACTTGGAGAAGGCATCACTGGTACCTCCCCCAAGCCGCACCCAATCTGCTCACCAAGGCAGGAGGCCACGCTTGCCCAGGTCCCCTAATACTCAGCAGCCCACTCCAGGGCAGCGGAGTGCCAAGAGTTCAACCGAGTTAACCCAGAAACCATGGACCCGCCGGGTTCCCACAAAGCCCAAGAAATCAGCCGCCGTTCCTGTCACAGGGGCATTCATTCGAAAGGTGACCCAGCCCCCTTTGCATATATCCCCGGTAACTCTGAAGGGGAAGGAGTACCACATGGACGTGGAAGCCCAGAGGAAGAACCTGCAGCTCCTAAGTGAGGATGCGGAGCTGGGGCTGCCCAGCTACCTGCGCAGCAAGGCTCTGGAGCTCACCACCACCACCATGGAGCTGACCATGCTCAAGCTGCGGAACCTGTGCCATAAATACATCCTCTACAGATGCTTCCAGAGCCTCCGGTAGGTCCTCCCTGGCACTCATCTGGCACCTACCCACACCCACTGTGGTGTGCTGGCACAGCCAAAACTCAAGGGAAACGGAGGAGCATCGGGTAAGGGGGATGGGGAAAGGTCCCCGAGGCTTGGGCAACCCTGAAGGAGGGAGGTAGGGTACTTACAAATTGTTCCCCCTGCAGTGGGCTACTTCTCTAAGCCCAGTTCCTTCTTTCTTCCTCTCTTCCTTCCCCCCCATCCATAACCCACTTATATGCTCTGTCATTTCTTTCTTTCCAGCCTCCCTTTCTATTTCCAGCCAGCCCAAGCCTCCTCACCTGACACTGCCTCCCACTTCTCTGCTCCTCCCCAGCTCTCACCAACCTCCGCTTCTCTTCTTGCTCCCAGGAATTACAAATGCGAAGTCATCTCTGCTTAACAGACTTAGGGGGGAAAGCAGGCCCCTTCATCCACTAAATGACTTCCCTTTCTCCCCAGACAAGAAGTGATTAACCACGTACAAGACATGCGAGAAACTGGGGCAACCTACAAGGCCCAGAGCCTCTACATTTTCCTGGAGAACATCGACCACCTGCAGAACCTCCGCCTGCAGGCCTGTATGGACAGGCAGAAGGACCTGGAGGAGAAGCGCCGAGAGTGCCTGAGCAGCATGGTGACCATGTTCCCCAAGGTGGCTCTCCTGCCTGGTGACCTTCTCCAGGGTCCACATAGACAGTAGGGATGGGGCCAGGAAATGAGTCAGCAGGAATGTGGGGTGTGACTGGAGGCAAGAGGGGCAGATGGTAAATAACAGGTTTAAGCTTCACCAGGAAGACGTAAAGGCAGGAGCGGCCTGAGTGCAAGGAAGGGCAGCTTTCCAATCTCCGTATATGGGGAGAGCAATAGAGAGGGACTTTCAAAAACTACAGAAGACTCTTCTGGAGGGGGGCGGTAGCTGGACCCCACAGTCCCAACTTTGCACTGAGGTTCTCCCTCCCCTGTGGATCTCTGCCCTGCTCCTGTAAGTACTTCAGGCCTGGTCACAGCTATCTTTACCCTCACACTGGGGATTGGCTTTGCTTCTCTCTGGGGATAGCTCCGCTGCTTTCTAGATGACAGGCCTCCCTTTTGTGTAGCACCTCCTCCAGTCACTTCCGGACAAAGGGTGCCTGGGAGATGAAATCACTGAGACCGTGGTTGTCTGAAAACATCTTTACTTAATATCTACCCTCATTCTTAATTGACAGTGTGCCTGGATATGGAAGTCTAGGTTAGAATTCATTTTCCCTCACGATTTTGAAGACACTGCTCATTGCCTTCTAGGTTTTGGCGTTGCTATTCAGAGTCCAAAATCATTTTGAGTCCCAGCCTTTGGGTTTGACCCATTTTTGCCGACTGCTGGCTTCAGTTTCTTTTACCCCTTCCCCTTTACTGGGGGCAGCTGACTTGGTCCCCAGGGGGCTAGCCTGTGCCTTGGAGAGATTGGAAAGTCCCACAGGAGTGTCTCAAAATCTGCTGGGATCTCCCCTAGGATTGGGTCAGGGGTAAGCCTAGTCCTGAACAGAAGTGGCCTAAGTCTGGGGGAGGCAGTGTGGCGAGGGACTCTGTGTAAGTGCCAGCAGCAGGCAGTTGGAAGAGCTTTGGCCATGGAGGTTATCTCCCGACTCAGTTTCTTATCGTCGTATACTAGCCCTGATCATTTCCTGTGTCCTAACTTGCTAAATTGGCTTTGAGGTTGAGAAGGAAAGGGACCATATGACTTCTTTTGGTGGTTATGAGGGTTCCCCCAGCTCCTTGCCTGAGTGGAGGCTGGACGAAAAGATACCTGGAGCATTCCAGGCACAGCCTGACCCCATGTCATTAACCCTGCAAGTGCCTCAGGAATTCCAGCTGCTCCTTGCTTCTTTGTTTTTTTCCTTGCTGTCTTACCCATTGTTCAGGTTCTCTACAGCAAAGGAGATAACAAGAACTAATCTAGCAAATAAGACTTCAAGGAATTTATAGGAAATTTGATACCCTGGGGTCCCAGGGGTTTCTAATTGGAGGAATTCCCTGGGTCTCACCCTCTCTGCTCAGCCCTGAGTTAGGCAATGCCTCCTCCTGCCCTAGAGAGGGCATGACTCCCTGTCGCCCTGATGCCTCTCTGCTGGTTCCTCTAGCTCAAGCTGGAGTGGAACATTCACTTGCACACCCCTGTGGTCACCTCCCCGAAGTCAAGGAAAAGCAAGCCGCCCTCATCCTTACTTCGGTGTGTCCACTCCAGCAGCCCCTTCTGCAAGCAGCCCCCAGAGCGTCTTCCATCTGAGCACCAGGAACGTGTGCCCCTAAGGACAGCGCGGTAGGTGCAGGGAAGCCAAGGGCACCGCCAGCTGAATGGGTGGGAAGGCAGGGAGTAGGGGTGGCCAGACTGGAGAGGCTGGCAGCTCCTTGAGGGCGCAGACAGGCAAGGCTCACCCCATGAGTTGCAAGGCACCTGTTTTCTCAGCTGCCCTGCTCAGCTCTGGCCAATGGCTCAGATGGGTGTGTGTGTGTGTGTGAGTGTGCGCGCGCATGCGTGGTGGTATGTGGGCGTCAGGGGCAAGCCTAACCAAATATGTTTCAAACTATGCAATGGAAAGATTCTGAGGACCCACAGCTGAGAATTTACAACCATTTCTACCCTGAGCATTGGTCCAGCACTTGCCATTGGTTTGTCCCTATAAACAAGCCTGATCATTCCCACTGTGTGACCCTCCAGACTCAAAAAGAGACACTGTGAGACTCTGGGCAGCCAAAAAGACCCACATCTACACCTACCCTAGTATGGGTTTCAGCTCCAGGAAATGTGGGGGGGGTGAGGGGGTGGGGCGTGGCTCTTCCAGCCACTCCTCAGCCAAAGGAGCCCCAGGGAAGTGAGACTTAGAGTTAAGGGGAAGAGAGGTGACAACTATTTAAGAAAGGAAGAAAACAGTATGTTGAGCCTTGTGGCCCTGGAGAGCTTGTTGCTTCTCAATCTTTCTCTCTGTATGTCTCTTTGTCTCTTTTTTACAGTTTCCACCCCCACCCCTCCACCCCCAGCCAACGGAGGAGCCAGATGGAGGCTGTTTGGAAGACTGATGTGGCCTCCTCCAGTCACGCAATAGAAAAGAAGACCCCTGCCATTCTGTCCTGGGACCAGCTGGGGGGGTGCCCAGATATTCCCCGGCTGTTGGCATTGGATGTGCATTCCTCCTACCATAAAAGCTTGATGTCCCTCAAGACCTGGTAAGGTGCAAGGCTGGGTGGTTAATCTGGATACAGGAAGATCTGCCCATCAAGGGTAGGGGACAGAGTACACAATGTCTCTGTCCAGTGACCCAAGACGTCTCTTTCCAAACATTAATAACGACCTCGTTTATTATGCCGCATCAGACAGGGCTATGCTTGCCTGCCTCATCAGCCATCAGCCTGGGTCCCCACGCCAATACCAATCTAGTTTTCTCAAAGGACTTTCCATGGTGTCTCAGAAGATCACTACAGAAGTCTCTCCTTGTTTCCTGGGCTTCCCATGAATTGCTCAAGAGGCATATCTGGTCCTAGGTCTGGGGGTTGTTTTCAAAGAGAGCCAGGTGAAGAATGGATAGATGAGGGAGACCAAGAATCATGTGATAAACCGGACACTTGGGCCTGTGCCTGTCTTTGGCATTGTCATTTCCTTAAGACCTTCAAAAACTGTCCCTGGGAAGAGCAGCTGAGGGGAAGGAGGCAGTGGGCCAACAATCAGCTTTTCTGGTTAGGAAGGCTCAACTCTCCTTTGCCTCTCTTGGCTTTAAGATGTCACTATTGAAGATTCAAGGCTCTTTCAAGCAGCCTTTCTAAATTTTTTTTATTGATTGATTGATTTTAGAGAGAGAGGAAGGGAGAGGGAGAGCAGAAGAGGGGGAGAGAGAGGGAGAGAAATCAATTTGTTGTTCCACTTATTTCTGCATTCATTGGTTGAATCTTGTTTGGGCCCTGATTGGGGTTCTAACCTGCAACCTTGGTGTATCCGGACAACACTCTGACTACCCGGCCAGGGCTCACACAGCCTTTCTAGATGACCAATCCCAGCTGCCTCCTGTGGCCCTGGCCCTGCCCCAATTAAAGATCTTTGACAGGGCCCCAGCCAGATGTCTCAGTTGGTTGGAGTGTTGTCCCACACACCAAAAAACGTGGGTTCGATACCCAGTCAGGGCATGTATGGCAGGCAGCCAACCTATGTTTCTCACATTGATGTTTTTATTGCCCTTCCTCTCTCTCTAAAAGTCAATAAACATATCCTCAGGTGAGGATTAAAACACACACACATACACACACCAAAAGATCTTTGACAGGGAGTGAGCACTGTTGCCTGACAGTCTAGCCCTGACCAAAACCAGCAGCTGTAAGACGCTGGTGCTGCTGCCATCCTCCAGACAGGGACCTAGGTGAGACGCAGGGTATCATGGCAGCTTCAGAAGAAGCTGGTCCACAGCTAGGCTTCCACTCTGAAGTGGGCCTGAGCCCCAACTGGACATTAGCATTATAGCTCACCCAGTAGAGATACAGTTTCTGGAGTTTGCAAGGGGTGTGTGTGTGTGTGTGTGTGTGTGTTATTGTTATTGTGAGTTGATTTGGATATAGCACACACGATTGAGAACAACCAAAACGACACTGTGGCAGAATGAAGTAACCCAGAGGTCAAATGGGGCCCCATCACCCTGAGATTTGGTTAAACTTGCCCAGGGCACCCCCATGTTGGTGTCTCAGGATCCTGCATTCCTTCTCTTCTCCCTCTGTATGCCTGTCAGTGCCTGGGCTCTACTTGGCATCTGTTTGGATTGGAAGCCCCAACCCCTTTGTTCTTCCCACACACATAAATATTTGCACATAAATATCAAGGGTATTTACTCCATTTGACCCCAAGCATTTCATGATGTTAGCAACTTTTGGAAAATTTAAGCGGGGGATGTGGTAAGGGATTCACAGTAAACAGCACCAAATAGCAGCCTCTTTTCTCCCCCCTCTCTTCAGTATAAAGTGCAGAATTCAAAAACTCCTTCCTGTCTCATGCAGAGCTGTTCCTCCCACACCCAGGCCTCCCCTGGGATCTCAGCTTCAGGCTTAAGCACTTATCAAAATATTGTTCCTAGCAAAGACAGCTTCCCCTTTCTAGGGGAATTTAGGTGCATTCAATTTTCTCCCCCCTTTTCCAGCTCTATACAAGTTTATTCACCTTATCTCACTACCAGGTGTGGAGGCAAAGCCCTGCTTCTTCTGTCTTCTTTATCCACAGCCAGGTTGGCACCACCTACCTGCATGTCAGGCTGGTCCTCAACGTTTCAGTGTAGGGGCTCCCAGAGTTGTCTGGGGATCCTGTTATTGTGGTATGAGGATCTGCCACTCTTTAACAAAAGTTCCATGCGACTGCCCAGCTACTGCTGCTTCGGGGTGTGGTTATGCTGCTTTGTGAGTACTCTGTGTGTGTGCCCCTCTGGATTTACACTCTGCTTCCACTCCCAAAAGTGCACCTTCTCTTTGGCCACGTGCCCCAGGCCCACCATGAATCCTCAAGTCCACCTGCTGTGTGGTTCCAGGTCACTCACCTCTTGGTAGTCCTGCTGACCTCACCAGCTCCCTGGCTGTGCTGTCCAGTTCACAGCACCATCTGGTTTCATAAGTAGGACCACTGACCTCATGCTGACTACCCCATTTTCCTAATCTGCCTGGCATCGACAGCCTCTCATCTCAGGCCTGCTGAGGTGTCCTCTCAGCCTGTGGGGAAGGGCTATTCATCTTCCCTCTGTAATTTGGGACACTAGGAAGACCATTGCCCTAAAAAACCAGCAGACCCCTCCTTCAAGATCTTTTCCTGCTTCGCTTCACAGCGTCTCCCCTGGGCTCTATCTGACAGGTAAGATAGCTATGTGTCTGTACACACCAAATGCTGTCTGCCATTGGAGAAGAATCTTAACCTTCACTCTGACTGCCCTCCCTTGCTCAGGGCCTATTCCTGCACAGCTAAAGTTCACAGTGGTTCCTGCGTGTGCACTGAGATGCAGCGCGTGCAAACTCACACAGATGTTCAACATGCTGCAGACAGAGGAGAGGGCTTTAAGTTGGTTCCTGGGAAGGAGATTAGATGGCTATGGAGATGGGTAGGAGGAAGCAGGGAAACGTGAGGGGAGAGAAGAAGGAAGTATTCTGTGATATGAGACAAGGGGCAGACTCGGGAGAAGAGAAGCAGAGCCCCTGGGATGGGGCAGAAATGTGTGTTAAGCAGTTTCATGTGCAGGCCAGGTCTGGGCCCAGCCCTGTACTGGTCTCCCAGAGAAGACCTGGGAAGCTCTTGGGTAGGTTGGGTGGGCGCATTCACATCTTGAGGCCTTGCCTCTGCTGCTCCCCTACCTGTAACTATATTAACTCTTTCAGTGTCTCGGTGACCCAAAGAAAGGAACACCAGGAGTCCTCAGATGAGTCTGCTGTACTTGTTCATAAAAAGTCAAGTGAGTCGCTCCCTGGAACCCTAGACAGCCAGAAGGATCGAGACAATCACAGTCCCCACTCCATCCCTTAGCCAGTGATTCTCAAATTTTAGGGTGACTAAAATCACATGGGAACTTGTTCCAAATTCAGGTTCCCAGCTGGTGTTTTTCAACAAACACCAAGGGTGTTGCTAAAAAGTCCTAGAACTTTGAGAAATGCTACTTTCCTCCACTCCCTAAACTGTATATTTTTAATAAAATAGAGGTATGCTTATTTTAAAATTTTTCTGTCTCATTGCTGAAACCCACATCTTCCCAACTGTTTTTTGGAACCAGGTCCATGACCACCTGGCCACTGACCTGGACACCAATCGGAGAAGATTCCCGATTCTCTCTTTCCTTAGGGAGCCAAGAGGCCAAGACGGCCATGATTAGTGCCTGGCAAGGAATAGGGGTTGGAATTCTTGAATTAAATAAGTAATTGAAATACTGATGATTAGAATGAAAGCACAGAGGAGAAAAACAAAAGGAAATATTGTGTACAGTCAGAGTCAAGTGTCACTGTGTGGGAGGCAAAGGTGAGTAACTCTCAGGAGTGATGGCAAAAGTGACAGAAATGGAGACATGGAGGTTCCAAATCTAGATGGTGTGGGCTAAGGAGGCCATTTCTGGCAATTGTCTTTCATTTCAGTCAAGACACTACTTTCCTCAGTTCATTAAGCTAAAAAGTACTGTCCCACCCTCTCTGTTCCTAGCACACAGCCATCTGTCTCATCTCTCACCTGCCTCCACCTCCCTCTACTCTCCACTCACCCAGCCAGACCCCGCTCAGGGACCAGGCATAATAACATGTTAACTGGGAAGTGACTCTGTCCTTAGAGAACCTGTAATCCTGCAATCCTGCCCATCTTTGCTTCCAGTTTAAGGTTGAGAGTCTGGAAGGAAGGAAAGGATGTGGGATGTGAACCACTGGCTCTTGGATGATGTTGGAGTAGGGTTTGATTTCTGAGCCACAACTTAACATACTGCAAGGAAAGCCTGGTGGGGAGGAAGGTGAGAGGCATTCCTGATGCGGGTCACACGGGACAGCTGTGGCAGCAAAGGGCCCTTTCTAGCCTTTCAGTTCCTAGGCTTATTCTTTTTTGGAGGCCTCACACCAATTATATCCAACATTAAAACACCCTCATATTCAATATATTTCTTTAAATAATTTGAAAGGATTTTTGTAACTCTGCTTTGGAAATTAAGCAGCTATGAGTAAGTGTTTTTAATATGTAGTTTGGCTATGACTTTTCAACAATCATCATGCATAGAGATGAAATCTAACAAGTTTTATAAATGTAATGAGACTATTTTGAATATTAAATTTGACTGGCAATACTATATTTTATAAACATTTAATTATATATACATATTTTTTACATTTTTTTTGTATTTTAAAACTAATAACTTTTTTTTTTAATCAGGAACATTTTTTTTATGTTTCATATGCTCTTGGAACTGTGCTTAAGTAGCCTAGTGGCTACTCTTGCTCTGGTGATAGAGAACTTTGACTTTCTGCATGTCCTCTAGCAACTCTCTCTCAAGCAAGCAGAGTAGTTGATAGATTCTTCTTCTGCTTTGCTAACAATTCATCTCCTTAAAGGTAAAGAAGGCCTAGATGGGCCAAGCTATGAAGCCAAGAGGGTTGAAAACCAAGGAGATACATAGATATATAGGGTGCTTTTCTAGCAATGAAGTTCTTTGATTCTATACACATGCCTCATTTTTTTTTTTCCAGAGCAAAGTTTATATATTTGGTCAAACAAGGTATGTCTCCATCCTCAAAAAAATCTCAGGAAAGCCAAGGCATGGAAAGAAATATTTTTTGGTATAGTTCTTCAAGCCAGATTTGGGGTTGGCTATATCTCTGCTTCTCTGGGAGCCTCCAGGATGAGAAACTAACACTAGTGTGGAAGGGGACATGAGGGAAAGGTCTACTTTAGCTCTTGCTGTGATCTTCAAGGAGGCACAGATGAAGTGGGAGGAACCAAAACCTTTTGTAAACAGTCCAGACAAAGAGGCACGGGGAAGAAATCCATATGGAGTCTGGCATGTCCCATGTACTGGGGAGGCCAACTTGAAAAAATCAAGAAAAGGATGAGCATGACTCCATGAATGGAGGAGTCATCTCGAAAAGAGAATATGAGCATGACTAAGATGTAACTGTCAATTGGGGACTTTGAAATGGCTTCATTTAATACATTAAAGGATCTAATCTAGTGCAAAAGGTGGACAATATGTGTGAACTAATGGGGAAATTTGAGCAGAGAGTAGGAAATTGTTAAAAGAAATGGAAAAATTGATATACTAGAAGTGAAAACCTTAGTATCATGGATGAAGTTCTTGAACAGTTTTATCAGCAAACTGGACAAAAGCAGAGGGAAAAATCCATGACTTTAAACTAGGTCAATAGAAATTAATCAAACTATAATACAAAGAGTAAAAGCAAACAAACAATCAGGCAAACCAAAAACTAAGCAAAATGTATGTGACAATGACAAATGATCTAACACATGTGTAACTGAAGTCTCAGAAGGAAAAGGGAGAGAGAATGGGGCAGAAGAAATATCTAGAGATAATCACTGAGAATTTCCCAAATTAATGAAAGACAACAAACTACCGATCCAAGAAGCTCAGAGAACCCCAAATAGGATAAACACAAAGAAAAACACACCTAAGCATATCATAGTCAAAGTGCTGAAACCAAAGATAAGAGAATATCTTGAAAGTAGCCAGAAAGAAAAAAAAAATTACATAGAAATAAGTAACAAAGCACTCTCCTCATTGGAAACTGTGCCAGCCAGATGGTTACTAAGGCCCATCTGTATCTCTTCCTTGTAAGTCCACAATATAACCCATGAGCATTCCAGGATATTCCCATTTGGGGCTGATATTAGCTTAGACGGGTTTCTGTTACCTGCAAAAACAATTGGCTAGAGCTGAGCAGTGGCTCATCTGAGCAGTTTCCTACAGGGAATGTGTTCTAGTTCTCCATAGTGCCCAGCTCTCCCTCTCATGCCATACCCAACCCCTCCTCTCTTTACACATACTAACCCTGAGCTGCATCACCCTCAAAGATTATTTATTGGCTGTGAGTTGGGAGGAAACAGAATAGGTGGAGGCTAGATATACTAGTAAACTGGCCTAAATGTTCCTCAAGGTAGGCCCTGTGATCTGTTGCCCCAAATTCTTTCCCCACAGGTGACTATCCCAGAACAACTGAAGCCTGAATCCAGCTGGCATATCTATCAGGGTTCTGCGAAGAGATGGTAATTGCCATTGGTGGCAATGTCTGTGAGGGAACGCAGTTGTCAATAATTCAGAGTTGCCATGAGGTCGAGAAGATTTAGATTTCCTCTACCACAATCCCTGTCCTAAGAGTCCTATGTAGGTCTCTATGTCACCTCACTTTCTGGAAGAGTTCCTTCACTGCAGGAGCCACAAGGGGGCAGCAAAGTGCTTTTAAAAGAGATTGAACTGGCCTGGATAGGGAGAGGGGCTGAATTAAAAGCATGGGAAAGAGGGACACAACTGAAGCTGGGTAGGGTTTGTCTGAGAAGGTGCTTGGCTGAGTGTGGAAAGCAAGTATGACAATGGTAGGGGAAAGAGACAGGATTCCTGGCCCATCCTTGGATATCTGGATCCTGCAGACAATTCTTGGTAGCCAGAGTCTTCTCTCCCTCAGCTTAGGGCCACTTCCTCCTCACTTGACCACCCACTCCCAGAGGGTCCTCTGCTCTGCAGGTCAGAAAGCTGTGCTTGCAAATGATTCTCCAGGTAACTGTTTTTTAGGAACTCCACCAAGGGGCTCTTCCTGTAGACTTTCTCAAGCATGTCCTCATTCATTCATTCATTGGTTCAACAAGTATCTATCGGGCACCTAACACCACGGTTCTAGACGTTAGTGATACAGTATTGATGAAAATAGGTGTGTATTTTTTAAGTGCTTTCATGGAACTTACATTCTATAGGGGAGAAACAGACAATAAACAAAAAATTAGTAAAATACACAGTATGTCAATTGGTAAAAGATGCCATGTAGGGTCACAAATTTCAAAAGAGGGGTAAGGTTCCACAATGTAGGGGTTACAATGAAAATAGGTCATGTCAGGCTTCAGCGAGGTGACATCTGAGTGAAGACTTGAAGGAGGTGAGGAAGCAAACCATGGGGTAAGAGCATTCCAGGCAGAGAGAATGGCCTGAAGGGGGAGCATGACTGACACATTCAAGGAATAGCGAAGTTTCCAGTGTGGCTGCTGTGGGGTGAGTGAGCAGAAGAAGAGAAGGAATGATGCAGGAGAAGTGACTGGGGTGGGGGTGGGGGGCAGTAGGAGACATTTTTACTCTGAATAAAATGGGAACCACTGCAAAATTTTGAGCAAAGATGTGACATACTCTGACCTACGCTTTAAGAGCATTGCTCTGGCTACAGTGATGAGAATAGACCGAAGGCTGGGAGAAGGAAGCAGAGACAAGTTGGAAGTGATTACAATTCCCATCTCATTCAGGAGAGCTTAATAAATGAGCTCAAATGCTATGCCCCCCACCCCCCACACACACCATGAAGCCTCTCCTAATCCTCCCTAAGACCCCCGTTCTCTTGGGGGCTCTCTCCATCTTCTCTGTTCTTGCATTTCTTCCAGCACTGGTCAATATTGCCTTTGTTCTGGGATTACTGATGGGCTGTCCTCAGCCCCACCAGACTTCAGATTCTTTAAGAGTAGAAGCCCAGTTACATTCCAGTTATTTGCCCAGTTGTAGCTGCCCCAGCACAGAGGGCTGTGCACAAAGTAGAAACCAAGTCAGACTTTTCCCTAAGGAATTAGTGATCCCATCCCTCCTTAGTTGACTTGACTTACTCTTGCCTCTGAGGCTTCTTCCAAGCCATGTTTCTGCCTGGAGAGCCACATCTCTTTGAGTTAAACACTTACCCACCACGACAGCCCTAATTTAGTCTGTTAGCAGGGCTTCACAGTCCTCTGCAGATCCATGTTTACACACATGGCTTGTCATTGGCCTGCACAGGCGGCCTGTCAGAGCTGGCAGAACGCACATACAAAACATTGTTTGCCAAAGCTAGTGGCCTTTCTAGAGCCTCCCAAGAGCAAATTAAATGAGTAATTATTTATTAAGTCTTTAAACATTTATTGAGCACTTGCTGTGTTGCTATGCTCTGCACTAGGGAGTGAGGGTATAAAAGTGAGTAAAACAAACTTCCAAGGAACTTACTGCCAACATAGCATACAGCCCATATGCAAAGCATTGGAGTGGTAACAAAATAAATAGAACTAGGTCCTTGTACTCCCAGGACTTACCATCCACCCATCCATCCATCCCTCATCTAGCAAGTACTTACTCAGTGCACTTACTAAATACTAGATGTATAAAGGTGACATTGAGATACAATCCCTTTTCACACTGCGGTGTGGAGATCGGTAGCAAACAGTGAGAAGCCGGCATATGTAACACAGTACAGGGCAAGTGATGTCATACAGGTGCAAAGTAAAATGGAGAATGGGGAAGGAGGTGTCCATGGCAGTGAGGGCCTGGTAAAACCTTCAGGACTAAGTGGGACTCCAACAGAATGTTGAAGAACTGCCATGGGTGGCAGGGAAGGGGGGACCCAGGGGACCCAGGAAATAGAGCACTACAAGCACAGACCATATTATGGACCAGAAAGTGGTCAGTATGGCTGTGGTTCAATGGGTAAAAACCAGGGGTTGTGGGA